TGGAATTATCTGTACTGATATTATTAATGTTGTGAGTAAATGTTTTAATCCCTCTTTCATTCTAGAAACTCTTGAGTATCTTCCTCACCAACAGCCAGCAGCCTTCAATGGGGAAAATGTCATACTAAATTTACTGCCCATTTCTTTGCACAGCACATGAAATACGTATATTCAGTTGTCATGCTTTGATGATTGTCACAATTTTCTGTATTTCCCTCAACTCCAAATCAAGAACAGAATCTTATTATGACCACCAACAACCCTCTGTAAATGAAGCAGTGTGGAAAGGCAATTTGATGCAACCATTTTTACTCATAGAGGGAAGTCATCATCTGCTCACTTGTGGTTGGGTAGTCCCTTAGTACCAGTCCCAGTGTCCCTTCCCAGTCTATATCATAGTTGATTTAATTAATGGTGCAAGGGAAAAAAATCCTCCTCTCTTTAGCATGGATTTTCCAATGATAAGTCATTGTGCACACTTCCTTCACCCATGCATGGCACAAGGAGATAATTGTTCATGTTCTGTGCATGAATGACTTTGTCCAAGGAAAATATCTGCTAGCATGCACACCTGCTGAGGAAAATGTCTGATAGCACGCATACCTGATAGTGACTAAGCGTCTACACCGGTTTTCTCAAAGTGCTGTCCTGAACCAACCAGCAGCAGCATTTAGGGACTAAAAATATAAATCTGCGGGCTCCAGCCGAGGCCTACTGAATGAAAAATTGTGAGACCCAGTGTTCAGGTGATTCTGATGCACACCAAAGCCTGAGATCTAACAATGTCATCTAAAAGAAGAATGTTGCCATTGTTTCATTCTGCTTTCTCTTCTAATGTATTTGTCACTGATTGTATAGATATTTTTAAAAGTCTTTCAGCAACAGTGTGAACTTTAATTGTTTGGCTGGCAGAAGTACAAGTTTCTGTTTTGCTCTCTTTTCTGACTTCATTGACAACATTACTAAATATATTAATAGCATACTGGAAAGCATATTTTGCACTTGTCTTGGGAAAATTCAATTGGTTTACCAAAAGAGATCAATTGTTTTGCTGGGAAGTGAGCTAAGAGCTTCATATTATAACTTAACCAAGTTTGACAGCAAAAAACAAAAGCAAAAATCAGCTATTTTCGAAAATTAGAAGTAAATGGATGCTTAGGCTGGTAAAAAAAAAAAAAAACACAAAACATTCTGCTATTCATGCTGACAATTCATTCACCTTTTCCACTTTTAGCTGCTGTGTGAACTCATTCTCAGATTTACTTGTCCCAGCACACACAAATTTATGTTCCATATTTGCATGTAGCATTCTTTATCAGGCTTGCAAAGTTTTTCTGATACAGTCTTTCATTCTCTAAATGTATGTGTATTCCAGAGAACCACCTGTGAGCCAGTGATCCATTTTTATGAGAAGACAGCAAAATAGTTACAAAAAATATAAATTTAACAGACAACATACCAATAATATGAAGATCTACCATAAATTGTACCCTTTGGGATTAACTGACCACCAGAATCCTTTACTGGTTGCATACACAACCAATAAAAATGTTATCATTAAGAATGAAATAAGCCTGTAATCCTAGCACTCTGGGAGGCCGAGGCGGGCGGATAGCTCGAGGTCAGGAGTTCGAAACCAGCCTGAGCAAGAGCGAGACCCCGTCTCTACTATAAATAGAAAGAAATTAATTGGCCAACTAATATATACAGAAAAAATTAGCCGGGCATGGTGGCGCATGCCTGTAGTCCCAGCTACTCGGGAGGCTGAGGCAGGAGGATTGCTTGAGCCCAGGAGTCTGAGGTTGCTGTGAGCTAGGCTGACGCCACGGCACTCGCTCTAGCCTGGGCAACAAAGCGAGACTCTGTCTCAAAAAAAAAAAAAAAAAAGAATGAAATAAGATATCTCTGAAAATAATCATTAAGCCAAATGTGTGAAATGCGTGTGAACCAAATCGATGCATCATATCTTCCTCTGGAAGTGCCCAACAGCCTATAGAACAACACTTCATGCTTCCTAAATCCGGAAGGAATTATTTCCATCCCTTTTCCTCATTCTTCAAGAGTTTCGATTATTCTTTTCCGCTAACCCCTCTCTTCTCATTTTAACTCAACTCGGAAACCATAGATTGAGGCCCTGTCTATGACCTACTCCCTAGCCACCCTGAGCTGGGCACAGCTGAAAGTCCCCACGTTCCTCAGATGCCCGGCATGGCAGAAGGCCCTGTGTCCCGCCCCGCGACACCAGGCAGGTGGCTGCGGAATCCTGAGAACCAGAACACAGCAAACAGCGAAGGGCTAAAGCAGCCCAGAGCGGGAAGAAGTCAATCTTGATTTCTCCCCCAGTGCTTGAGAACATACTTGTTTGATCTAACTCCCCTAACTGCCTTTTTTTCCCCCATTTACTAACACAGTTCTCAAAAGCATGGGCTAGATACACGGTTTCCATTGCTTCATAGCTGACTTCCTCCTTGCTCCCTTGCAACACAGCTCCCAGCTCCAACACTTGAGTGTTCTCTGCGGTATTTGACCTCTCCATGGGTTTCTCTCCCACTATGTTACCTGAGTGCCTCTCCAGGGAGGAGGGGGCTTACCAGAACCGCCTGTGAGGCTTTGCCAGCCGCCACCTCAGAATCATCTGAGTCAGTGGTTCTCAACCACCATACACGAAAATCACTTCGAGAGCTTTTATTTATTTATTTTTTTATATTTATTTATTGAGACAAAGTCTCGCTTTGTTGCCCAGGCTAGAGTGAGTGCCGTGGCGTCAGCCTGGCTCACAGCAACCTCAAACTCCTGGGCTCAAGCAATCTATCTGCCTCAGCCTCCCGAGTAGCTGGGACTACAGGCATGCGCCACCATGCCCAGCTAATGTTTTCTATATATTTTTAGTTGGCCAATTAATTTCTTTCTATTTTTAGTAGAGACGTGGTCTCGCTCTTGCTCAGGCTGGTTTCGAACTCCTGACCTCGAGCGATCTGCCCACCTTGGCCTCCCAGAGTGCTAGGATTACAGGCGTGAGCCACCTCGCACGGCCAATCGAGAGCTTTTAAAAGGTACCAAATGCCCAGGCTTTGTAATATGTCAACTTGGCCAGGCTGAACAGCATTCCCCAGAATTCCCTTTCCAGTTAGGGTGGACCACAAAAGAGATTTGGGGACAGAAGTGAGGCAGCAGCCGTTTTACGCTGTCATCTGTTGTTGCTTATCTGCTGGCTCATCTCATCAGCACATGCCAGCAACCACACCTGCACCTGGGCCAGGAATATGTGGTTAGCTAGCCCTGTGACAAAGGGCGCTGGCTTCTGCAGGACACCCACACCATCCAGGTCACAGGCAATAAGCACTGACGTGGGTTTCGGTCTGTCATTATGGGTCCCAGTTGGTTCTCACTTTTTTCCTCCATGTCCCAACTTTATATCCACCTTCCTTCCCTGGCTGCCTGTCCTATGGACCTCAAGCCTCAGCATCAGACACAAAGACAACACCTTACAGAGACTGCTTAACAGCTCCCACAGCTGCACATGGTCAAATCCCTGTAACAGGTCCCTTCATATATGTGCAGGTATTTCTTCCATTGAATCCTGCCTGATAAATTGAACTCCTCCAGACCCATCATATCAAGACGCACAAAGGTGAGGCCCAGACACAAGCATTTGTTAAAAAGCTCTCCAGATGTTTCTAACATGGTTAAACACCATCTACCCTAGGGTAAAAACCTCCACATCCAATTGTAAACCCTTGCCAGAGTAAGCCTGTAGTTGCTGAGAATCCCCCAGGTGAGCTAGAACTGAGAAAGGTTTAAAAATCCTGTTCTGCCCCACCCTATGTAATTATTTTTCTGATTTATTCTTCCTTTTCCTCTTCTGCAAATCCAGCCTCTACCCATCTCACAGATCACTGCAATCTCCCTTCCTCTACTCTTTCCTCCCTCCTTTTCACAGCCCCCAGACTGATCTGGAAAACCTCCATGCTCAAAGGCTTTCAGCAACTCCCTGAAAGGGAGAGATCAAATCTAATCTCCTTACCTGTTATTCAAAGCTTTCCACAACCTGGCTTCTTCCCACCTGGCCAACCTGTCCTTCCATTCTCTTTGCAGTGTAAACCCTATCAGCTTTCTAAACCTCCATCAACCCAAGTAAGAACAAAGCAGTGGTAACGCAGGGGAAAGGGAAAGGCCAGAATCCCTGGCCTCCTTGGATTCTGCCTAACCACTAAAGCTGCTAGCTGGGCACCATCCCAACCTATCACACCACACCACTCCACCTCCCCTCCCTTCTCAACCTTGAGCTCCGCCTTCCACTTTCAATACCAGGGTTTGAAATTGCATTTGGATCCTCAATGTATGGGAAGTAGAAAGTACAAATTCCCTTGTAGAAGTGACCTTGACACTTGTACACTTGCATACGCAACAACTGACCACTTCTTTTATGTCCAATTCATGCAGCTGCTACTACGATCCTATTCCCAGAACTTAAGGAGAAAAAGACAGTATTTGGCTGACCCTCCACCAGGAAAACATAGCCTAACTAAAGGGGATCTTACACTCCTCTCCCAGCATAGAAATTTCAAAACCAGAACCCAGTCTGCAATGCCCAATAAGGCTTTATTATTTATTATATTTATCGGGTATGCTAGAACTTTCTACAACAGTACATGAACTGCCTTTGAAATTTCCTTGTCCCAGGAGTCTCCTATTTGTATCTTGGAAAGAAGGCCTTAGGCAGTGCATAAGCACTCAAAGCTGTCTTTCTGCAAATGCCAAGAGATTAAGAAAACAGCACTGAAGGAAGCCCTCACCCCATGGTTATGCTATGGCTACCACTATCATATAATATTAATGTAAAAAAAAAAAAGAGAGAGAGAGAGAGATTTGACAACTCCCAAGGCCTGTAGCTGAGCTTTTTGCTTTAGTTTTTCACTTTTATCTTTGCATTACCCACTCATGTGCTAAGGTTTACATTGAAAATTGCTTTCTCTAGATTTCTCCACAAAAATACTCACCCATATTTCTCTGCAAGCCCTCTGGCTTCCTCTTCTTTCACTGCTCTCTGGTCTTCCAGATCACTCTTATTTCCACATAACACTATGTCTGGGTTTTCACAATATGCATGCATTTGTAGCTGACCTATTAATACAAGAAAGTTTATTATGAGTAAATAACAATGTAAGCATATGATCAAAGGAGAATACATGCAACAGTTCTTTGAAAGCTGCAAATGTATATATGGATATAAGAAACCTATATGTTTTCAAAGCATCAATAATCTAATCTGTAAAGCTGAATAGATGGGGCAGAAATATAAAACCACTCCTGCTCTTAAGCACATACCCCAGTTCATTTCTGTCGGGTAGTTATGAGAGAATGTGCTAACCCTCAAAATGTGAGTGCCCACATGTGCACACAAACACAAAAGACCTGACTTTTTTATGGAAGTCATTTGAAAAGAAACTTGGAAGATTTCCCAGTGCTTATTGCTAATCTTAAAGCTCTGATTTTCACATATTTTTTCTCCACAGCAATGACATTTTGAAAAGAATTATCTTCCTATAAACTAACCTATTTCCATCTGAAATGTCTTTTTACATTTATCTATTATCCTAGAACAGAATCGATTCATTTAAAACAAACAAGATGCAGGACTCAATGAGGAGGAAAGACCCAGAATAAATAGTAAATAATTCTGTCACCAGAACCAAGAGGAAGCAGGAGACTATAATTCTTTTTCCATAGCTTTTATTTCACCTGAAAACCTGTAAATAGGCATAATTATATAAAAAAAAAAAAGCAATTCACTCAAAGAAAAGAGCTTTACACTAAGCTAAATAATCTCCCAAAGAAGGAAAAACAAAGCCTTACTTCTTACTCATCACACCCCTGAGTGAAATAAAGCAGCCCAAACTTTCTCAATAATACATACCTCAAAGTGTATGGCCTAATTTATTTTTTTTATCATGGTTAACCAGAAAAGTGTTGACATTTTAGTTCCTCATTATAAAGTCATGTTATTATCCTTCTCAAGAGAAAGTCAGGTCAGCAAGCATTTACTGAGCATCAACACGGGCAGATGCTTTGGGTGGAATTTCAGGACAGCTCTTTGCCCCCAAGGGGCAACTGTGGTAACAAGACCCACATGGGCAAGACCAAACTGCGCACCATTTCCGATAACGGCCATGCCCTTTCTTTCCTCCGGGTTGTTACACGGGCTGTTCCCACAGCCTTGAATACTCAGCCACAACCTTCCTTTGAGACTTGCTTCATGGTTACCTCTACTGTGAAATCTTTCTGGTCTGCAGAGTGGCTCTGTGCTCCGTGAACACCTGACACGTCCAGCATCATGACTGCGAGCATGGACTCAGGACCCAGTGCACCTGGGGTTGAATCCCGGCTCTGCCATTTACTAGCCGTGGGACCCTGAAGAAGGTATTTGTCTGCCTCAGTCTCCCCTTCTGTAAATGGTGATAATGATACTACTTACTTCATAGGTCAGGGTGAAGATTAAATGAGTAAATTCAGGAATTCTCCTGGTAAGGTCTGCAGACCAGCACCCTTAGTTAACATCACTTGAGAATTTGTTAGAAAGGCGAATTTGAGAACCACTAAGTTGACACATTAAAGCATTTATAAGAGCTGTGTGTTACCAGTAATAATGGTTAATAGTGGGGTTTTTTTTGGGGGGGGTGGAGTCTGGGAGGTGTGATTATTGGTGATTTTTTTCCCATTTCTTTTTTCCTAATTTTTCTACAAAGATTATGCTTAAATAAAAAGTAAATGGGCCGGGCGCTGTGGCTCACGCCTGTAATCCTAGCTCTTGGGAGGCCGAGGCGGGCGGATTGCTCAAGGTCAGGAGTTCAAAACCAGCCTGAGCGAGACCCCGTCTCTACTATAAATAGAAAGAAATTAATTGGCCAACTGATATATATATATAAAAAAAAAAATTAGCCGGGCATGGTGGCGCATGCCTGTAGTCCCAGCTACCCGGGAGGCTGAGGCAGAAGGATCACTCGAGCCCAGGAGTTTGAGGTTGCTGTGAGCTAGGCTGACGCCACGGCACTCACTCTAGCCCGGGCAACAAAGCGAGACTCTGTCTCAAAAAAAAAAAAAAAAAATTTATAAAAAAAAAAGTAAATGAATCAGTTATTTTTAAAAACTCACTAAGGGAAAAGGCACATACATAAACAACAATAGCATGAGGCAGGATGTGATCAGGACCCTAGTAAGCAGTAAAACCTGTAACTGGGGTAAGAGGAGGGGAGAAAGCCAATCCAACTAAGGTTATCACAGAAAATTTCATGGCGGCCACTTTTGCCAGGTTATAAAGAATAAGCCAGGCCAGGTGGCTCACGCCTATAATCCTAGCACTTTGGAGGCCAAGCAGGTGGGAGGATTGCTTGAGCTCAGGAGTTCGAGACCAGCCTGAGCAAGAGCAAGACCCCCGTCTCTACTATAAAATAGAAAGAAATTAGCCAAACAACTAAAAATAGAAAAAATTATCCAGGCACGGTGGCACATGCCTGTAGTCCCAGCTACTCAAGAGGCTGAGGCAGGAGGATCACTTGAGCCCAGGAGTTTGAGGTTGCTATGAGCTAGGCTGACGCCACAGCACTCTAGTCCAGGCAACAGAGTGAGATTCTGTCTCAAAAAAATAATAATAATAAAATAAAAAAAAGGATAAGCTGAACTCTAAATAGTCTTTAAAAATGGGGGTGAATATAGAGAGGGCTTTTCAGACAGCAGGAATAATAGAAAAGAAAATAGAGAGGTGAAAATATGTTAAACAAATACTGTTGGGCTCTTGCACCACTTGTGTGACGCTGTGGAGGTTTAGAAATTTATGCCAAGGTAAAGTTTCCTTACAAAACATGCTGGCACTGGAGGAGGGATGACTGTGAGCATGACTTGCTTACCCCTCTGAACCTCAGGAAGACAGAGCATGGAATAGGACGCCACCCAATTCCTTTCAGATTTCTGTCCAGATCCAGAGGACTCAGCTCACTGCTCAGTCTCTGAAACCGAGCGGGCCACACCCTTAGGCTCTTATCACCCTTCCAAAGAGGGCATGAAGAGATTCATAGTGGAGAAAGAAGCGCCTGCAAGGGGCAAAGGGAGGGGACAGACCTGCTGTCCTCTCCCTGGCCACTCAGGGCCCAGGAGTCAGCTGCTTCTGTAATGCAACACTGTCTCTGTCTTGGCATGCACCATTTTTATAAATGCAAACATGCATATATATATATATGCATGTTTGCATTTATAAAAATGCATATATATGAGATATTTATTTATTTATTTAAAATATGTATACTTTTTAGGCCGGGCGTGGTGGCTCGCACCTGTAATTCTAGCACTCTGGGAGACAGAGATGGGCGGATTGCTCGAGGTCAGGAGTTGGAAACTAGCCTGAGCAAGAACAAGACCCCGTCTCTACTATAAATAGAAAGAAATTAATTGGCCAACTAATATATATATATATAGAAAAAATTAGCCAGGCATGGTGGCACATGCCTGTAGTCCCAGCTACTCAGGAGGCTGAGGCAGCAGGATTGCTTGAGCCCAGAAGTTTGAGGTTGCTGTGAGCTAGGCTGACACCACAGCACTCACTTTAGCCTGGGCAACAAAGCGAGACTGTGTCTCAAAAAATAAAAAATAAAATAAAATATATATACTTTTTATATATTGTTTTGACAGAAAAAAAAAGAATGACCCCTGTAATATTCAAAATGCTAACAGGCAGAGGAAAAATAAAATGTATAAACAATTAACAACTTTTTATTCCTAATTCAGATTTTATATTACCACCTCTGAAACTGAATATTATACCTTTTTATTTAAATGGGGGAAGATGGGGAATAGTTTCCACTGGAGACATGAAATCTTCAATATGTATAAGTGTTTTTTGGGTTTTTTTTACCTAACTGGGCAATAAAGATTCTTTACTCTGTAAGGAAAAAAAAATACATACATACGTACATGTTTTTACATGATTTTGTTCTTTAGCTCTAAAGCTAAAGACATTTATCTAACTAATGTCTCAGAGTTTCAGTTTCTGCCTGGGAAAAACAGGGTGACAGGCTGGGCATGGTGGCTCACATCTGTAATCCTAGCACTCTGGGAGGCCGAGGCAGGAGGATTGCTCAGGGTCAGGAGTTCGAAACCAGCCTGAGCAAGAGTGAGACCCTGTCTCTACTAGAAATAGAAAGAAATTAATTGGCCAACTAATATACATAGAAGAAATTAGCCGGGCATGGTGGCGCATGCCTGCAGTCCCAACTACTTGGAAGGCTGAGGCAGATAGATTGCTTGAGCCCAGGAGTTTGAGGTTGCTGTGAGCTAGGCTGACGCCACGGCACTCACTCTAGCCTGGGCAACAAAGTGAGGCTCTGTCTCAAAAAAAAAAAAAAAGAAAGAAAGAAAGAAAAACAGGGTGACTTTCTTTTTTTAATTTATTTTTTATTTTTATTTTAGCGTATTATGGGGGCACAAGTGTTAAGGTTACTTATATTGCCCATGCCCCCCTCCCCCCTCGAGTAAGAGCTTCAAGCATGTCCATCCCCCAAACGCTATCTTTCAACACTAAGCTTCTGAGTGCACTCTCTAGGAATCCTTACAAAGTGTGTGATTTAAGAAAGGCCCAGAACTTGTCCTGAAGGCCCCAAGGAGAGGATGATGAGCATGGGCTGAGGATAAGGGATTAGAAATAGCCACCGTCGTTCAGCTGCAAGGGAAGTGATGAGGTGTTCAACTCAGCCAGGCATCTAGCAAAATGCAGCCCAGGAAGCATAACTACATTTGGGGAACTCATATTTAAACTATTTACTAGCTCTTCAACTCTTTGGCCAATTTACTTGAGAAAAGGCACCAAAGGCCACTGACCTGAAAGCCAAAATCTCCACGTCCTTGGATAAGTCTGTTATTGTAAGGTGCCGTGTCCTCATCCTGAAATAAGGACCCGACCCAACCCGGATCTCCCCACAGAGTGGTTGTGAGGATCAGATACAAAATATGTAAAAATCCTTTGGAAACCTCAAGGCACCATATAAATTGTTTTAAACTCATCTTAAAATAAGGCTATTATCAAAACTACAGCCCATTACCCTTTCATAATCCCAAAACACCAAGTAATTTTTAGATAGCAGATATTTTTAAATAAATGTTTTAAAGATCTGGATGTTAAGAATTTAATATCACAGCCTTCTCTAATAGATTCTCTAGGGTTACACTAATACAACTGAAGAAGAAAAATGTACATTTGAAAGCTGTTATTTGGGCCTGGCGCAGTGGCTCATGCCTGTAATCCTAGCACTCTGGGAGGCCTAGGTGGGAGGATCGCTCAAGATCAGGAGTTCGAAACCAGCCTGAGCAAGAGCGAGACCCTGTCTCTACTAAAAATAGAAATAAATTAATTGGCCAACTAAAAATATATAGAAACAATTAGCAGGGCATGGTGGTGCATGCCTGTAGTCCCAGCTACTCGGGAGGCTGAGGCAGGAGGATTGCTTGAGCCCAGGAGTTTGAGGTTGCTGTGAGCTAGGCTGATGCCACAGAACTCTAGCCTGGGCAACAGAGTAAGACTCTGTCTCAAAAAAAAAAAAAAAAGAAAAGAAAAGAAAGCTGTTATTTGGTCAAGTGTTAGGATTTTAAATGGCTATTAGCCAATCAATTCCGAGGTTAGAACCTCTCCAATGAGGCAAAATGAAGGTTGATGTATATTGTACTGACACTGCTTTTGCTAATGCATTGTAGAATTTTCCATGGCAGGGTCCTCTTGGCAGATGCTCTGACCCTAAAAGCAGAGATGGAACCTTATAGGGCCAAGGGTATGATCCATTAAGCCTTCAAAAGATATCCACATCCATGTAATAGCTATGTAACACCCAAGGATGATGCAAGAACTGATAACACACAACAGACAAGGAGATACTTAGAGATTTAACTTCTCTAGGCTTCTACTTCCTCATCTATAAAATAGTGATAAAATTCCCCTTAGAACAGACTAATTAGGAGATTACACTTAAAATGCTGCCTTGTACCTGGAGCACAGGAAGTACTCAACAAATCAAAGTAAATGTTACTAGGAAAAGCAGAGTATTTCAATTAATTATCTTTGCCCTTAAACTAAAAGCCTTGCTCCTTTAAACAGCACTTGCACTAATTAGCAGCTCCTCTAAAATAATTTACAACAGAAGCAGAGTAAAAGAGAGCCTTCCATTCCAGAGAGTGGGGAGCAGGATACAGAGAAACAGTAATACTCACTTATCCAGTTTCTGACATTGAGGAAACTTTGTTCATTTGTCAGATCAAAGAGTAGAAGAAAACCCATAGCATCTCTGAAGAACGCTGTCGTCAAGCTACGAAACCTAGGAAAGCAAAAGCAGATTGGTCAGCTAAGCCATAATCCCAACTCCTGAGATGCAAAGTTACAAGCAATGCCCTCAGCCTCTTACAAAAGTTTATCAACAACAAATTACACAATGATATTCCAAAAGTGTGTAGGACAGTTATTAATCATTTATATCAACTTAAGTGTTAACAGATCATGTGATTGGAAAGCCCAGCCTGTTGGGCAGGGTTGAAGAGAACTAGCTCGTGATCTCTTAGTTTCAGCCAAGAATTTATTGTACAATGATGAGTTAAGTAGGCCAAAAGCCATGGTGCTTGTTGTGTATGATTTCCTTTTGCGAAAGCTCATTTTGGTCCTGCAATGTGTTCCATGACCTTTTAACGCCAGTCTCTACAGAAATCTCTTATCTCCGATAACCATTTCTTTGGCTTTAGGGTAAGGATAGTATAGTATAGTTATAGTTATAGATAGTATAGTATAGCATAGGATATATTGATTCAGACCCTATCCTTTCTTGGTTCTCTACCTTCCAAGGTTTTATCCTGCTGTCTCTTCTCTCTCCCTCTACCAGTCAGCTTCCTCTCCCTTTACCTATATGCAAAGCCTATAAATGACAATCCCCAAGCTGCAAGGAAGAAAATACAGGTATAAATTTGTCATCTAAATAGCAATATTAGTTTTTCCTCAGAAAAAGTTTTACCTTTCAGAGCTACATATCAACATGATTAGAAATGAAATAATATCATCTCTAGAATTTGCAGACAAATAATATGGAGAGGGTGAGAAGTGGTAAGAGCCATACACGAAATATGAGTGACCACAACTTGATATTTATTGAAATTGAGTAATGGGTACATGGGTTCATTATACTATCTTCTCTGCTTTGGAAAATGCTTGAAGTTTTCCATAATAAAAAGTTAAAAAAAAAATAAACAAAATCCTTCATGGCAGCTGTGAGAGAAAACAAAAGCTAGAGCTAGTTAAAAGCAACTTTATATCAAGATTTCATGTGCTTTATTTTGGTCAAGTAACCTCTGACCATATGGATTCATTCCAGCCAGATTTTCCACTAGGTTTCAACAATCAGGTAAGAATAACGCATGCAACTTTGCAGCTTTCTTGTAGTTAAGTAAATAGCCAAAGTAAGTGGACAAAAGTATGTAAGTCTAAAAAAGAAGAAAAAGAAAAGAAAAAGTGAGAAGGTCCATTTTGAAAAGGATTCATTTTTTTCCTTTGACCTTGTATGAAATAAAGCCACCATTATCATCTCCGAGTGATAAATTCCCTGCTAATTTAGCAACACATCTTATTGAGGTACAAATCAACAATCTGCTGGATGTTTTCTGCTTAGGTCACTGTGTGAAGACTGCAGTTATTTTTCACTTTCCTTGAGCAAGGAGCAGATAACTGAAGATCTCCTACCTCTCCTGACCTGCTGTGTCCCATAACTGCAGGTGGATTCTCTGGCCTCTGCCAATGGCTCCATCCGGCCCGTTGGCTCTGTACACCTAAAACAGCAAAGTGAAGGAGAAAATAAGAGAACTGTTGACACTAGTTAACTCTTACCACTTTTCTATTTGATACAAATCTGTGAAGCATATAAACTTCCAAAAAGAATCTCATCTGAAATACAATCATGTTTGTATTTTATGTCAAATAATTTTATTTGAATAACAATTTGTATTAAAATATATACATGTTTTATAATTATAAATGTAAATAATGCAATAATTTACATAAAAATAACGGTTTGCCTTTCCTCAAGGCTCCCTTGAATAACTAACTAGTTTTAGGAAATATTACCTTCCTATGGCTTTTCCCCATCCCGTGTTTAAAAAGTGCTCTTCATATAATTTTATAGAAAGCACTTCTGTAACAATAGAGAAAGGACCTCCAAAAATGTCTTCCTCCATAAAAGCAACAGAAACACTGGTAAAAATTGTCAAAATCAACTTTTTCAGAACTCTGGAAATTAAAGGTTTGCAACATTCGAATGAGCATTTACTCAAGAAAAATGACTGAATATCAGTAAAAAAACAGTAAGTTTTCTGGTGTTTTTAACTTGCCTTATTCCCATCCACCTTGTTCTAGCTCTACAGTAGCCTTAAGAATCAAGAAATGCACAACTATGGTAGCCATGAAAACCATCAGTCTAGCAGCCCCTGTGGACGGTGGAGGCAGAATAGGTTTAGAGCTCCCTAAAACTCCTGTCTTCAGAGAACTATCAGAAGCTCCCTGAAAAGCTCAGTCTGTAGGCTTTGTCTTTATTTGACCTCACTCAGAGCTTTCTCTATGAAAACAGCCCTATCCCCAGGGCATTTGTGGAAAACTATCAGAGGCAATTATTTAACACCACAGTCAATACTACTTAGGGGTAACAAAAGTCTAACCTGACATGGGCAGTGGCTCACACCTGTAATCCTAGCACATAGGGAGGCTGAGACAGGAGGACTGCTTGAAGTCATGATTTCAAGGACAGCCTGAGCAATGTAGCAAGGCCCTGTCTCTACAAAAAATAGAAAAATTAGCTGGGCATGGTGGTATACATCTGTAGTCCCAGCTACATGGGAGGCTGAGACAGGCAGATTGCTTGAGCCCAGGAGTTTGAGGTTGCAATGAGTTTTGATGACACCACTATTCGCTCGCCCAGGTAACAGAGTGAGACCCTGTCTCGAAAAAAAGAAAAAAAAAGAAAAAGTCTAACCAATTGGGTGTAGTGGCATATGCTTATAATCCCAGCATTTTGGTAGGCCAAGGCAGAAGGATCACTTGAGACCAGGAGTTTGAGACCAGCCTAGGAAACATAGCAAGACCTCATCTCTCCAAAAATTTTTTTAAATTAGCTGAGCATAGTGGCACATGCCAGTAGTCCTAGCTTCTCAGGAGGCTGAGGCAAGAGGATCACTTGAGCCCAGGAGTTTAAGGTTGCAGTGAATTGTGATCATGCCACTGCACACTAGCTTAGGTGATAGAGCAAGACCCTACCTCAAAAGGAGAAAAAAAAACTAACCAAAAAAATTTGAGAGACTTATTGGTTCAAGGAATTTAAGAAATTCTGTCTCTTCCTTAGGTGTCCACTAAGTTGACTGAGTAGAGATTTCAGCTGCACACAATGAAGAATACAGACTCTATAGAATTATCCCAGGAATGTCACTAAACAAACAACAACAACAAAAATAATTAAATAAGCAGCAAAAATAAGAAACCCAGTCTGGGGGGAAGAATCTAATTTCTGGAGTTGTCATATTATATTATTTTAAACATCCAGTTTTCAATAAAACTTATAAGACACAAAGAAACAGGAAAATATGGCTCATACATAGGAAAAAAGCAAGCAATAGAAACTGTTCCTGAGGAAGCCCAGATGTTGAACTTACTAAATAAAGACTTTAAATTCACCATTATAAATATGGTCCAAGAACTAAAGGAAACTATGTATAAAGAATTAAAGGACAGTATGTAAAAAATGGCTCACTATATACAGAATAAAGATATAAAAAGAAGTAAATAGAAATTCTGGAGTTGAAAGTACAATAGTTGAAATGCAAAATTCAATATAGGGGCTGAACAACAGATTTGAAATGGTAGAAAAAAATAATCAGTGAATTTGAAGATAAGTCAATTGAGATTATCCAGTATAAGAAACAGAAAGAAAAAGAATGAAGAGCATGTCAGAGAGCTGTGGAACACCATCAAGCATATCAACATATATATATTGGATGTCCTGTAAAAAAGAAACAAAAAAACAAAAAAAACAAGGAGACATAGAAAAGGGCAGAAAAAATTTGAGAGATTTTCAGCTTTTCAGAGTGCCGAAAGAAAAAAAGACTATCAACCAAAAATTCTATATTCAGCATAGCTAACCTCTAAAATTGAAGGAGAAATTAAGACATTCTCAGGTAAAAAAAAAAAAAAAGAAAAAAGTCACCTCTAACAGACCTTCCTTGTAAGAAATAAATAGCAAAGACAGCTCTCGAGACTGAGCTGAAAGGATACTAGACAGTAATTCAAATCCACATAAAGAAATAAAGAACAACAGTAAAGGTAACCACGTAAGTAAATATAAAAGACAGTGTAAATGTATTTTTGTTTATAAACTCTTTTTCTCCATCTGATTAAAATACAATTGCATAAACCAATAAGTATAAATCTGTGTTGATAGCCACATATTGTATAAAGATGCCACTTGTATGACAATAACACCACAAAGGAAGGGGAGAAAACAGTCATATAAGAGCAAAGTTTTGTATAGTATTAAAATTAAATTGATGGTAATCAAAACTAGATTGTTAAAAATTAATATGATAATTGTAATTCCCAGGGAAACTATTGAGAAATAAATCAAATATATATAGCAAAAAAAAAAAAAAAAGAAAATGGAATTAAAATGATACACTAGAAAATACTGATTTAACATAAAGCAGTGATAGAGAAATCAAGGAGCAAAAAAGATATAATACATATATTAATATAAAATAAGTAGTAAAATAGAAGACATAAATTCTACCTTATAAGTAATTACATTAAATATAAATGGATTAACAGCTCCAAATAAAAGAGATTGACTAAGTGGATTTTTACATGTCCTCCAATTATATGCTATGTATAAGTGACATGCTTTTGAGTCAAAGACACAAGGAGGTTATAAGTAAAAGGATGGAGAAAAATATACCATGCAAACAAAAGAGAGCTGGAGTGGCAATACTAATATCAGACAAAATAGACATTAAGACAAAAATTGTTAGTAGATACAAAAAAGGATATTTTATTAATTACCTATAAAAGGGTCAACCCATCAAGCAGACATAGGGATAAAAAGGAAAAAGTAGACAACAATAATATTTAGAGACATCAATACTCCATTTTCAATAATGGATAGAACAAACTAGCCAGGTCAACAAGGAAATAGAAGACTTGAACAACACTGTGAACCAACTGGACACCTATAGAACACTCCACCCAACAGCAGCAAAATACACATTCTTCTTAGATACACGTGAAATATTCTAGAGGATACAACATATGTTATGCCATAAAATAAGCTTCAATAAATTTAAAAGACCAAAATTATACAAAGTATGTTATCCAAACACAATGGGATAAAATCAATAACAAAAATATCTGGAAAAAAATCACAAATATGTGGAAATTAAATAGCACACTCTTAAATAAACAGTGGGTCAAAAAAGAAAAAAGGGACACTATGAAATACTTTTAGATGAATGAAAACAAAAATAGCATCTGAAAATTTATTGAATAAACTAAAGCATTACTCAAAGGAAAATTTATAGCTATAAACACCTATATTTAAAGAGAACAATCTCAAATGGATAACTCGAGCTTCCACCTTAAAAAACTAGAAACATAGGAGTAAACTAAACTCAAAGTAAGCAGAAGAAAACAAATAATAAAGATTAGAGTGGAAATAAATGATCTTTTCTTTGAAAGGGTCAACTAAACTGATAAACTTTTAGCTAGATATGACCAAGGATAAAAATAGAAGACTCAAATTCCTAAAATCAGAAATAAAAGAAAGGACAACACTACAAACCTTGCAGAAATAAAAAGACTATGAAGAAACTATTAATAATTATATGCCAAAAAATTAGAATATGTAAATGAAGAAATTCCTAGACACAAATGACTAAAACTGATTTAAGAAGAAACAGAAAATCTAAATCTATAACTGATAGATTGAATTAGTAATCAAACAACTTCCCATAAAGAAAAGCCCAAGCCCAAATATCTTCACTTATAAATTCTACCAAATGTTTAAAGAAGAACACCAATCCTTTCCAAAATCTTCCATAATATAGAATATGAGTTGCGAGGGGAAAACTTCCCAACTCATTTTATGAGGCCACTATTACCCTGATTCCAAAACCAAATACATCATGAGGATGGGGGAAAAAAACTATAGACCAATATCCCTTCTGAATATACATACCAAAATACTAGCAAACAGAATCCAGCAATATATAAAAAGGATTATAAACCAAGACCAGGTGGAATTCATCACAGGAATAGCAAGGTTGGTTTGCCACAAAAATCAATTGATGTAATACATTAACAGAATAAAGGACTAAAAATACAATCATCTCAATAGATATAGAATAAGCATTTGACAAAATCTAACACCCTTTCATGATAATAAAAAAATTTAAATATGGAATAGAAGGGAATCTCTTCAACCCAGTAAAGGACATTTATTTAAAAACTCACAGCTTTTATTATACTTAATAGTGAATATCTGAATGTTTTCTCCTTGAGATGAAAAGCAAGACAAGGATGTCCTCTCTCATTACTTCTATTCAGTGTTTTACTGAAGGTTAATTGCTAAGGCAATTAAGCAAGAAAAAGAAATAAAACATGTCAAATTGGAAAAGAAGTAAATTAGCAGATGATATGATCTTATATACAGAAAATCCTATGGCATAAATACATACAGACACAAAGACTATTAGAGCTAATAAACAAGTTCAGCAAGATTCCAATATATAAGAATTTAAAAAATAAATTGTATTTCTGTACACTGGCAATAAACAATCTGAAAATAAAATTAATAAAATCGGCCAGGCACAGTGGCTCACGCCTGTAATCCTAGCACTCTGGGAGGCCAAGGTGGGCGGATTGCTCCAGGTCAGGAGTTCGAAACCAGCCTGAGCAAGAGCGAGACCCCATCTCTACTATAAATAGAAAGAAATTAATTGGCCAACTGATATATATAGAAAAAATTAGCCGGGCATGGTGGCGCATGCCTGTAGTCCCAGCTACTCAGGAGGCTGAGGCAGTAGGATTGCTTGAGCCCAGGAGTTTGAGGTTGCTGTGAGCTAGGCTGATGCCACAGCACTCACTCTAGCCTGGGCAACAAAGTGAGACTCTGTCTCAAAAAAAAAAAAAAAAAATTAATAAAATCAATTTATAATAGCAGTAAAATATTAAAATATTAATACTTAATAATACATTTAACAACAGTACAAAACTTATACTCTGAAAGCTACAAAATATTGCTGAAGGAAATTTAAAAGGTCTAAATAAATGGAAAAAAATCCCATGTTTGTGGATCAGAAAACTTAATATTAGGAAGATGGCAATATTCCCCAAATCTACCTACAGATTCGATTTAATATCTATCAGAATACCATCTAGCTTCTTTGTAGAAATTAACAAGCTAACCCTAAAATTCATATGGAATTTCAAGAGACCCAAGACAATCTTGAAAAAGAAAAAGTTAAAGGACCCATTCTCCCCAACTTCAGAACTTATTACAAAGCTACAATAATCCCACTACTATGGTACTGATGTAAAGATAAAAATAGAGATAAATGGAATAGAATTTAGAGTCCATAAATAAACCCTTACATTTATGGTCAAGTGATTTCAACAACAGTGCCAAGAACATTCAATGGGGGAAAGAATGGTCTTTTAAACAAATGGTGCTGAGACAAGTGGATATCCCCATGCAAGAGAATAAAGTTGAACCCCTATTCACACCACACAGAAAAATTAACTCAATATGGACCACAGAGCTAAATGTAAGGGCTAAAACTATTTGCATATCATATTCATTTAAATACACACACGCACTCACATACACAACCTCACACAGTCTAACTCCTTCACTGGCCTTTGGTTTTTCGGATTTAAAATTGATATTTATAAACTTATAATGCACAGCATGGAATGATCATATATGCTATATATTAACATAATGCAGGTAAGGATGGCTATAATCTAGTAGGAAATAAAGTGTTTGTGAGGATGTGGAAAAACTGGAATCCTCAATACACTGCTAATGAGAATGTAAAATGGTGCATCTGAGGAAATTCCTCAAAAGTTAAACATAGAGATAACACATGACCAAGTAATTCCATTCCTAGCCATATATCCAAGAGAATATCCACACAAAAATTGTATATGAATGTTAATAGAAGCAATAATTAGAATAGCTAAAAAGAAAAAACCCAAATGTCCAGCAGCAAATGAATGGATAAACAAAATGCAATATATCAATACAATGGAACATTTGTCAGCCATAAAAAAGGAAGAATGTCCTGATACATGCTATAACATGGAAGAACCTTAGAACATCATACTTAGTATAAGAAGCCAGATGCAATGGCCACATATTATATGATTCCATTTATATGGTATGTACAGAAAAGGGCAAATCCACTGAGAGTAGACTCATGGTGGTCAGGGGGAGAAGGAATCACTGCTAACAGGTATGGGGTTTCTTTCTGCAGTGATGAAAATGTTCTAAAATTAAACTGTAATAGTTGCACAACTCTGGGAAAATACCAAAAACCACTGAATTTATACTTTAAAGGGATCAATTTTACTTTTTGTGAATTGTATCTTAATAAATCTATTTTAAAAAAAAAAAAAAACAAGGTTATAAAATAAGAATTAAAGATAATCACATATATATAGATTCTACCAATTATATGTCAATACTAAAAATTTCACTAGGATCCCATTCTTACCCAGTGGGTCTAAGTCTCTATAAGACTCTCTGTTAGCCGGGCGCGGTGGCTCACGCCTGTAATCCTAGCACTTTGGGAGGCCGAGGTGGGCGGATTGCTCCAGGTCAGGAGTTCGAAACCAGCCTGAGCAAGAGCGAGACCCCATCTCTACTATAAATAGAAAGAAATTAATTGGCCAACTGATATATATAGAAAAAATTAGCCGGGCATGGTGGCGCATGCCTGTAGTCCCAGCTACTCAGGAGGCTGAGGCAGTAGGATTGCTTGAGCCCAGGAGTAGATTGAGGTTGCTGTGAGCCAGGCTGACGCCATGGCACTCACTCTAGCCTGGGCAACAAAGTGAGACTCTGTCTCAAAAAAAAAAAAAAAAAGACTCTCTGTTAGTAGAAGAAAAGACCTAGAGTGGGTAAACGGCAATGACTTTCTGTCTCACACCAGGGACGCTGTATCTTCCCGCGGTAGAATGCATTCCATTGAGGGCCTTTGTCATTAACCTCCTGACCACTTGTTGACCTGCTTTGTGGTAACAGTGGATTTTTCAGCAAGAAATGTAGTCCGTGGAGAAGGCCATCTTCCTTCATCTGCAACTATGACACCACAGCCTTCTGCATTCCCTTCCACCGCTAAAATAATATTCAGTCTTGAGGGATTTTTTTTTTTTTTTTTTTAACATTCTGCAGAATGTTCTGCAGAACGTCACATCCACCACCAGCATTCCCCACTCCTACTCCAACCTCACCCTCCTGGCAGCAGTGATGAGTTCTGCCACTGACTGTTCCATGTGGAATTGCTGAAGCTTTAATTAAGAGGAATGCCATTAAAAATGATAAGATACCCAAGATGAAAGGTATAGCCCACAAAACAGGGCTATGTGGGACAGGGTGGGTGGCAGGCTTCATGACAAAGGTAGACGACGAGTCACATTTGTGGAGTTCAAAGGGGAACATACAAGCCAAAAGGGGAACATACGAGCCACAATAAAACGTAAGTAAACTATTCACTTTTACTTTCTCTACTTGGTTTTATATGAAGTGTCCTTCAACGCAGCCTGTTCAATCACATTGCCGGGATCGAACATAACTCACTTTCACACACACTCTTTAATTTTAGATCCCAACCTTTGTCCTCCTAACTCTTACAAAGTAAACGAAACAGGCCAATGTTGACTCAAAGATTACATTTTTACATAGAAGGATTTACAACTTACCACTCTCTTTTCCCTGAAATCAATCCCCACTGTCGTGATAAATTTGGAATTAAATTTACCATCCGTGTACTGGTAAAGCACGCTGGTCTTCCCTACTCCAGAGTCTCCCAAAGCTAAAAACTTGATGAGGTAATCGTAATCCCCATCAGACATAATGAAGAACTCAGTGGTTCACCTGCAAAATACAAACAAATGTATATTGATTAAAATCCATTAGAAAACATACTCATCCACTAATATAGTGACTACTTAATATTCAGTCCAACAAGTCCTTCTGCATAACACCTGTATATCTAGGGCTTCTGTGCAGAGAGGGCTACATTTTAGGGTCCCAAGGACCTAAAAACTTGCTAACGGAGAAGCTACTGAAACAGTAAATAACAGTTTAGTTTTAACATGCTCATTATAGTACTATTAAGACAAAAATTTCAAGTAAGAATGATAATCAAGAAGAAGATAGCAGTCACTTAGTCGTATATGCAGACCATATAGAACAAAAACTAATAAAGGAAAGTTATAAGGAATAATAGGAGATCTTAGAGTACAAGTGGTTCCAATTTCCCCTCCGATTTCAAAGTCTCCTACCACTGGATCTTTGGCTTTTCTCTCTCATAAAAACAGAGAAAATGAACATCTAAGCAATTTCATTTATCCTATTTATTTTCATGTTACTACTGTTTCTTCGAAGGCACTTAATTCTTTTTTATTTCAAAATATTAATCAAGGGGAGACAAGTGTTTTGGTTACATGGATATTCTGTACAAGGCTTAAGTCAGGGCTTTTGGGTGTGCCCAACACCAGAATAGTGTTCATTGTACCCAACGGGTAAGTTTTAATCCCACACCCATGCCCCCCATCTTCCCACCCCCTTCCTGGTGTTTCACGTCCTTTTATGTTGCTTTGTACCCATCTATTAGCTCCACTTCTTAGGGAGACATGCGATATTTTGCTACATGCATAGAATATGTAACGATCCCCACTGGTTCCCTCCTAAGGGCTGAGTATTTATCATTTCTATGTGTTGGGAACATTTTAAGTCCTCTCTTCCAGCTGTTTTGAAATACATACTAGGCTATAGTCACCCTATTCTGCTTTAGAGCACTAGAACTTATTCCTTTTAACTGTATGTTTGCACACATTATCAACTCCAGTTCCAGACACTGTTAATTCACAAGTAAAATTTGGCTTGCAGCTTCCTCATAAATTATTATCAATATATACCCATTAAATCAGATTTCTCTGGAGTATCACTGCTCACTTCCAAGTGAGTTCCAGTATTGAGCAGTTGCTGCTCAGAGACAGTAGTTCCACAACTAAGGGCTCATTGACCTATACTTAACCCTGGTCTTCTAACAAGAATTGCTAAAAATTCAGCTCTTCAGTTTTGACTAAAACAAAAGACCACCTTAAAGAAGAAAAATTTGTTTTTACCAGCAATACTTAACCATGGTTATTTTTGGTCCTTTGCAATCAGCACTTTTCATGATTTGTTTTTATCCTATAAATAGTTTTAAACCCAAAATATCAGTCCAGATGAAAATGGAGTCTCTCTCCAGGGAAGGCTACTTATTTTTTTAAAAAATATGTATTAATACATAATATGTGATTACAGGGTATATGTGTTATTTTGTTACATGAATAGAATGTATAATGATCAAGTCAGGGTATATAGGGTATTCATCACCTCGAGTATTTATCATTTCTGTGGGTTGGAAATATTTCAAGTCCTCTCTTCTAGCTATTTTGGAATTAATATATATAATATATTGTTAACTATAGTCACCCTATTCTGCTTTTGAATATTAGAACTTGTTCCTTCTAACTATGTTTGTGCCCATTAACCAACCCTTAACACCAATCAATGCCAATACACTGCCCTGAAAATCAGAAAAATCAGTTGTTCATCACCATGGACAACTCGACCTGCCCATTCAAACACACACATTCATGGGCAGGTGGGAGGGGGGAGGGGGGCGGGTATATACATACATAATGAGTGAGATGTGCACCATCTGGGGGATGGTCACGCTGGAAACTCAGACTTGTAGGGGGAAGAGGGGAAAGGGCATTTTTTGAAACCTTAAAATTTGTACCTCCATAATATGCCGAAATAAAAAAAATAAAAAAACCCACACACATTCACCTATCCACACGCACAGCAGATGCCCTACATTAGATTCATGCCCTTGTCTCTTTTTATCCAACCCCATATCCAGAAATATTGTTGTCATACTCAGTGCTTCCTATAGGATTATTTCTATAGATCAATAAAATTAATAAAAACTTAGGCAAGAATATGTATGGATTTCCAAGGTTACCTCCCCACCCTCATCCTCAACTTTGTGACTCACCTTATGCTGAAATATCCTAAATGCCGGGGCCCAAGAGCCACTGCAGGGAGCTTCCTCGGAGTGCCTTAGCACAGACCTGTGATCTCACATTTCAGATATGGCCAGCTTGTCGATAAAGGGCAGAGCCTCTACAAACATTCATAATTCTATTTGCCCACTATAAAGAGTGACACTTGACAGATGATGGCTTTCCTATGGGAGTAGCTTCTGTATTTGCAGGTGTGGGTCGCCAGTATTAATGACACATCACAGAATTCCTCTCCAAAAGATGACCACTCGGGCATCCACATTCTAGCATGTCCTATCACGGCATCTCACCTAGCACCAAATTATTTCAGAAATAAGAGCTAAAAATTGAAAAGCAGGTCCAGGTAATGTTTAATCCCTTGGGGGGGTGGAGTTCTCCTCAAACTGAATGGGGAAGCAGAGAGCAACTCCAATCCTGCAATAAGAATGAAGCAAGAAGACACCGTGGCTGCCCTATTTCCTCTTTACTTTTAATTTGAAAAAAGTTGGTCTTTTCTATAACTATGTTTTTTATACCATTTAAGGTATAGGAGAAAATGCTGTTACCAATGGCATCAATATTCTAGGATTCTCAAAACCTACATAAGTGGAATTCAGAGACTTAGATGAAACTATCCTTGCTGTACCAACAATTTAATGTGTTTAATTTTCATGGGTGAAGAATCACACATGAGTCTGCAAATGATTCTTGTGAGTTTTGCTTTCTATTCATGATAGCAATACTAGCCAAGTCATCATAAAGAAAATGTTAACAAACCAAATACCACAAACTGAAGGTATAGATACCACCACCAATATTAACCATGGTTTGCATTTCTCAGACCACACCTTTAAGACAATTATCTGCTCTCTTGATCTGAAAATAAATGCTCAAACCTTTCACTCTCTCAGGTCAGTTTTCAAAAGGATAAAGCAGAACCCAGAGAGACAAATTGATTTACATGATCTAGAATCTAGATCTCCTAGTTCCAAGTCTAATGTCTCTTCCACCTCAAGCTTCACATCAATTACTTATTTTTTATAAAGCATATTAGGCTTAAAAGTGATCAGTGGTATGACTTTCTTTCTTTTTTTTTTTTTTTAAGAGACAGGGTCTCACTCTGTCACCCAGGCTGGAGTGCAATGGTGTACTCATAGGTTACCTGGGTGATCCTCCTGCCTCAGCCTCCTGAGTAGCTAGGATAGGCATGGGCCACCATGCCTGGCCCTATATAGTATAAGGTAGCATAACAGGAAACAACAGAGCTGGGTTTGAATCCCAAGTCTCCCACATACCAACTACTTGGATATCTCTGAGCTTTAGATTTCCGGATTTCTGTTCTATGGAAAAAAAGATACTACACTACCTCACACTATTGTTCTGAGGATTCAGTGAGATACTGTTTGTGGAGCACCCAGCACAAAGCTTGTCATATACTGAATACTTAAATGTTAGCTCACTCTAGTTTCCCCATAGAGGACATGCAGACTCACTCTTAAGACCTGAAACAATTTCCGAAATTGACTCTGGACAGCTCAAAACATCTTTTTCTAGCAAAAAAAAAAAAAAAAAAAAAAGTTTCTGACTAGCTCAAAGTAATTTGCTGAGTCAACAAAGATCACTTTCAAATTAATCCTGTCTTTTTGTTGTTGGTTCAAACCATTTGCACTTCTTTTTAAATAGATATGCTTATTTCAAAAGAGTTCTAATAAATTTAAAAACATGTTCAAACCCATATAAAACAGTCCAATTCATTTTAGCAAACTCATACTTGTTCAAAAGAATCTGACTGGTTCAAATTAGTTTAGAATGAGTTAAAAGAGGTTCTACCTACAAAATTATTTCTGACCACTCTAAAACCATGTTGGCTAAGACCAGACGTATCTAACCAAAATTATTGGAGTCTCATTTTAATAGTTTTAATTGATTCAGACTGGTTCTTTCCCCACCCCCCTCAGACTGGTTTTAGCTAGCTCAAATAGGTTCTGACCTGGACAAGCAGGTTCTTATTGGCTCACATAAGTTTTGAACAGTTCCAAGTATATTTTATTAAATCAAGCTGGTGCTGACTAATTATAATAAATCTACTTCCAACTTGGTCACACTTGCTCTCATTTTATCAAACTGCTCCTAACAAGTTCAAGTCATCTATAAGATAGCTTTTACTGGTTTAGACTGGCATAAACTGGTTCAAGACAGTCTGAACCGTTTCAGACTGATTTCAGATGTTCATTTCCTTCACGACTAGCTATGTAAAACTACAATCAGATACACCGCAAACAGTGCAGTGCTTTGAACTTGTGCCAAGCCAACAAACTTAAATTTAGACTCATAAATTATCTCATAGAACATTCTATACCACAAAATTTGTCTCCATCACAGTATCATCTATCTCTGCCCTTTACGGCTTGTATGTGGTGGCATCCAGGAAAGGGGTTGGGAGAGAGGAGTCCTGGTAAAGGACAGTATGATCGGCAACAGGGAAAGGGGACACAGCCTTCCTGGGCTCAGAATTCACCTCCCATTTTACCCCAAGGACCTGGCTTGAAGACCTTAATCCATGATCCAACAATAAAACAGAGATCTCAGTTGGGGAAAACCTTCAGCAAAGTTGGAGTCTGTATAGAGTTTGTCCAAAGTTAGTCACACTGACCAGGCTGGTCTGGGTTAACAGAGACCAGAATTCTAAAGAATAAGAAAGCTGCGAGGAATAAATGGATTCAAGGGGCAGGCAGGTTTTCAAAGTGACAACAAAGAGATTTTTCAAGGTTTGGGCATGGTGTTGACGGTGACAGTTTCCTTATCTGAGCTTTTGGC